GGGGTCCGCGAGACGAAAGTCACCGATGGTTAGATATCCTGAATGACATGGCTCAAAACCGTTTACAGTGGCACAGGTGCATCCACTCTTTGTGTTCTACGAAGTTCTAACCTTCTGATTTCCTCATCATCCTCAACTCACTATTTTTAAATTCATCTCACTGAATTATATTTCTTGAATAATATCTTCGAACCCTGAACTCCTCCATTATCAGTGATACTTCTACTGTCTCTATTGCTATGTTATTTGAACTGACAATTGCGACTCTTTGCTGATGTGGTATGGCAACCTAAACTTATGTACTAATTTACGAAGCTCCACACTGTAACTGGCCCGACCGTAGCTGCTACCTTGACGTGGTGGTCGGGCTTGCCTATCGTGATGACCCAACCGAGCTATACTGGCTGGAACATATGTTCCTCAAGGTTCTACCATGCCAGGCAGGTCGACTGGAGAACGATGAGACTAAAAGCAGCTACCCAGGGTCTGAGGGCGAAGTCGTACTGCTGACTGCAGTAAGGTGTTTCCCTCGGACAACCAGCATCTGCAACGATGCTGCCTTCCCACAAGGAAGGAATGGTTAGAAAAGGTCGGCCCTAAAAATGTTACACCTCCCCTAACTCACGGATTTCCGTCTCCTTGGGTAAGGGTGCCCACTAAGGGCCTTTAAGAACGGAGCTAATCCTCAAAAAACATTTGATAAAAAGGCCATGCGTGACTGGCCTCAAGCAGTTGTCCCTTGGGCTCTGCGGTCACGCACCAACACTAATCCATCTTCCTTTTCAGGTTCCTCAGGAAACAACCTTCCATGGTGTGGGCAGCCGGGAAGTGACAACCGCCCTCATACCCATAACAGCACGCGAGACCGAATTGGTCAAAATCAAATCCTTCCTACACCCCCTAGTACCTCTCTTATCTCCACGACTAACTCTTCTCACATTCATTCATCACAGTGCACAGCTAATGCAGACGATACGAGTTCGCGAAACGTCGTTCCTGGTCTCCTTAAACCTCGCTCTAGACTACATGTTGGAGCATTTAATGTACGGACATTGTGTCAAATAGGGCAACAGGCTTCCTTAGCTAGGACTTTAGGATCTCGTGCCATCGATGTATGCTGCGTATCGGAAACGCGCATACAGGATCCGAGTCGCGTCATACACTTGGCCACACCATGTCAAAATAAAGAAGCAGCCCGATTCACTCTTCGTGTATCCGGTAGCCCTGATGCTGCTTCCCGGGGTCTTGCTGGCGTAGGCATAGCATTGAGTCCTAGGGCAGAACAATCTCTCCTTGACTGGATCCCAATAGATAGTCTATTGTGCGCTGTCCGACTAAACGGGACAGTAAGGACTCGGAAAGATAGGGACAATCGCCGTTGCCTCTTCGTCGTATCTGCCTATGCCCCCACTGAATGCAGTTCAGACGAGGTTAAGGATGAGTTTTACAGAAAGCTTTCGGACCTCCTCCAAAAAGCTAGGCGCTCTGATATAGTAATAATGGCTGGTAACTTTAATGCTCAAGTAGGTAGACTAAGTGAGCAGGAGAGACACCTAGGAGGATGTTATGGTGTCCCGGCTCAGAGAACAGACAATGGTGACCGTCTATTGCAAGCATGCTCAGACAACCACATATTCTTAGCAAACACTAACTTTAGGCATAAGGAAAAGCATCTGTTGACCTGGCGACCTCCAAAGTCGTCTCAACGTTGGACTCAACTAGATCACATTGCCATCAGCCACCGATGGAGGGGTTCGATAGAGGACTGTCGCTCGTCCTGGAGCACATGTCTAGATTCAGATCATGCCCTAGTGCGAGCGCGTATTTGTTTGAAGCTTACTGGGCGTAGGAAAGACACCGTAAGAAAGCCTCTTAGGGTTTTACTTAATGATAATAAGGCGAAAAATATATTTCAGGAACAACTAGAAAGACAGTTAGGCGACCATTTAAGCGATTCCCATCCGGAAGCAGGATAGAATGATATCAAAAAGGCTGTGGAAACAGCAGTGATATCTGCTAGTAAGGTTGACCATAAGGCTAGAATGAAACCGTGGATCTCAGTAGCATCCACCGATCTGATGGATGCCCGAAAACTCATCCCACCTGACTCTGAACATGATGAAGAACGAAGTCAACTTAGGCGCAGACTTATAAAAAGCCTACGTAACGATCGCGAACAGTGGTGGGTGGCGAAAGCAAAAGCGATGGAAAAGGCAGCGGCGATCGGCAACAGTAGACAACTTTTCCTACTTATCAAGGAAACTGGTATTAGGAATCCTAGTGTAAGTGAGACTATCTCAGAAAATGACGGAACTATTATTTATTCTCAATCCAGGAGACTGGATCGATGGGTAGAACACTTTAGGGATCAGTTCAACTGGCCTCGAGCCACTCTTCAGTTACCCACGATCTCCAGTCATCCTGAATGGCAAGTCGACCTAAGTCCGCCTAGTCCTAATGACGTTGAGAAAGCGTTAGGAAATCTGAAGCGAGGACGAGCTGCAGGTCCTGATAGACTGACCCCTGAGATATTTAAGGATGGTGGTCCAGTTTTAGCAGCTAGGTTGACTGAGATCTTAGGTAGAATCTGGGAACTGGACGTAATCCCATCCGACTGGTCTCAATCACTGATTGTCCCAATCTATAAGAAAGGACAGAAGTCTTGTGACAATCACAGGGGAATAAGTCTAACTAATATAGTATCTAAAATATTGGCCTCAATAATACTTCGACGCTTAACGAAAGCTCGTGAAGAGCAGACTCGAGAAAACCAGGCTGGTTTTCGACCTGGACGTGGCTGTATAGACCACATTTTCACACTACGACAGGTCCTGGAACACAGACGCACATTTAGGCGTCCTACAATAGTTGTTTTCCTGAACCTTAAGGCGGCATTTGACTCAGTGGATCGTGAGGTTCTGTGGCAGTGTCTGTCATTGAAAGGTGTACCAAATAAGTACATTAACTTCATACAAGCTCTCTACTCTAAAACTACTGGTCGAGTGAGAGCTTATGGCGAACTGTCACCGGAATTCTCTACTTCAAGTGGTGTCCGTCAGGGATGTCCACTTTCTCCATTCTTGTTTAATTTTATCATATACATGCTCCTAGAAATAACCTTATCCTCGTCTGAATTTTCTGGAGTAGACCTTTTACCAGGTGGCTCGCTTATTGACTTAGAATATGCCGATGACATTGTCCTACTTGGTGAAGACGCTGACAAAATGCAGAGTCTTCTGACTACCCTAAGCAACAATGCAAGCATTTTCGGGATGCGGTTTTCCCCCTCGAAATGCAAAATGTTGCTTCAAGACTGGGTTGCATTGGCACCTGAACTAGTGATAGGGAGTGAAGTAGTCGAACGTGTAGACCGCTTCACTTATCTTGGGAGTCTCATCAGTGCCGATGGCCTGGTGACTGACGAAATCTCGGCACGGATACAGAAGGCTCGATTGGCTTTTGCCATCCTGCGTCACTTATGGCGTAGGCGAGATATCCGTTTGCTGACTAAAGGACGAGTGTACTGCGCAGTAGTTCGCTCCGTCTTACTTTATGGCTGTGAAACATGGCCAATGAGAGTAGAAGATACTCGTCGGTTATTGGTTTTCGATCATAGATGTCTTCGAAGCATTGCTCGTACATCGTGGGACACCCGAGTGAGCAACACTGTTATTAGGAAACGGGTACTAGGTAAGAATGGCAGATCAATCGATGAAGTGGTGAAACTTCATCAGTTGAGGTGGTTGGGACACGTGTTGCGTATGCCTAACCAGCGACTCCCTCGTCGAGCTTTGTTTTGTAGTGTAGGAATAGGTTGGAAGAAAGCTAGGGGCGGCCAGATCAAAACATGGCAGAAATCCATGAAGTCATTGACGAGTGGACTTAGCCATGTCGGTAATTGTCGACTACGTGGTTGGGGTCCGCGAGATGATAATAATCGATGGCTAGAGACCTTGAATGACATGGCTCAAAATCGTTCGCAATGGCGCCGGTGCATTTATTCTTTGTGTTCTCTCAAATCCTAATCTTCTGGGTTCTTCAACACCTCTAGTTTTTACTTTCTAAACTTATCTCATTGAATCATACTTCGTGAATAATATCTTCTAATTCTAACCACTCCGATTACTTCTAATACCTTTACTACCTCTTCTACTATTGGATTTGAATTGACAATTATATCTCTGTGTTGATGTGGTATGGCGACATGAACTGATGTACTTACGTACGAAGTTCTACGTTGCAACTGACTGACTGACACTGTAACTGGATGACTGACTTTTAGTCTTGATGCTTATTTAAGAAGGCTCTCTGAGTGTGATTTTTAAAATGGAAATTAAAACATCAATCTTGAAGCTTTCTTTAATAGCAACGAGTGAAATAAATAGTCTTTTATGCATTATCAATCATATATGTATGAAGATTGTTGTTTTTTATGAACCGATCATTCCGATAAAAAAAACAGCAATCTCCATATCTATATAATGAATATCATAAAATATGCTCACTAGTGACTAGCTTGGCGAAGAAATTCTCGGAGTTTTAGTGAATAGCCATGACCATTGGAGTTCAAATATGTTAGGTATGAGGCAGTTGCCCACCAGAGACAAGGGTGAGGTTACGGAGCACTCTGGATTGAATAAAATTAGACATTAACACCGTTAGATACTGGCTCAGTGATGTAGAGGTTGAGTTAGCGCGCAAGACCGAAGGTCCTGGGTTTGATTCCCGCGAGTGAGGGTTGTGCTTCTAGGTTCCTAATGGTTATCTAACGATTTTATGTATGAGTAAGCTAATATTTTTGAAGACGATTTTCATAGTTAACTTATCAAAATAAGCACAACTTAAAACTATAAAAGAACCGTATTGCAGGACTAGAATTTTTCGCTTGTTACGATAAAGATAAAGCGCTTTACCTCTTATCAGATCTCTTACTCTTATCGTATTGTATTTTACTTATCGTCAATTAGGTGTTTATACTTCATTAACGTCTGCTTAGTATTATGAAAAGAAAACCAAAGCTCACACTTATTTTTGACGAGGAAAAAAGAAAGTACGATCTTTATTTCCCGACTTTCAAGTTATCAGAGAATATCTTACAGGGTTTCGTAAACGGAAGCTTGAACGTAAAGAAAGGGGACGTAAAGCAGCAGAAAAACAATTAAAAGATGAAATTAAGGCTGTTAAAGACAAAGTTTATCGTTATACATAAGTTATTATTTTATTAGTATAGGGAAGCTGCTCGTCAAAAACTTGAAAATATCCAGTTGCCTGGGACGTTAGATTGTGTTGAAAACATCCTTTCCAATGACAAACAGATCATCGGAGACCAAAGTGTTGTTATTCAAGAATTAGATTTATGTAAAACACATTATTTCATGGGTACTTGTAAGGTAAATCGAGATGAAGCATCCATGCTTTTAACTTATTTAGGAACCAAACTCTCAACCAATCATTTCTAATGAAGAGTAGGTTGTTAATAAGTTTAATGACTTTCTTTTAGACCACATATGTCGCTCAAAAAAGCACTCAAAATGAATCCGATGAGGAGTAAGAAGCGTTTCCGCCGTAAAAAGAAGAAACTTAAACATAAGCGTTCTAAATAATGATTCCATCTTGTACATTTTTATTTGCACAATAATTCAATATCTACTGTGAAATGGTTGAGTTTTGGATTTTGCACTTTCGGTGAAGTGTGTTTGTTGACGAAATAATTTGTTTACTTGACTAGTTTTACTACGCACTTCATTCTGTACAGTAAAGAAAATGAGCCCCAGTTATACCATTAATTGGTTTTCAAAACGCTAACGTTTTTTGTCCAGTGTGTTGAAATATTTTTGAGAAAATCACTATCAAGGAATATTCACTAAACAGAATACTCCAATCGGTATAATATTTGCAAACTTCATCATAAATAGGGGATAATCGATACTCTATGTATAATATAACTAGCAAAATTAAAATCTGAAGCTCAAACAAATTAGTCGGTTGTACCTTTAGGGATAATTGTTTTAAATACCTCACAGCAAACATACCCTATCCACTTTGGTATTTGTCCAATACCGTCATCTATCATATAAATCTGAAGTAAAATAATGGCTTGGTGGTCAAAATACTCTCTTTTCAATCTTTAGGTTGCAGGTTCGTAGCCCACTTCACCTACTTCTCTCCAAAAAATCTGTTAGTGTTAGCAGTCCTCACTTTAGTATTTTGACTGAAAGAAAAGTGCACATGGTGTGATGGTTACATTAGATTATATGGAAGTAGTATATTGATAGAATAATTCTCAAGACCATAACCCGACTATATCTAATTCAATTTAATGCTTCATTACCTCTCCCTTAAAATCGAGTATACAAATCTCTTATGGTCGCTGACCTGCATAAACTATATATTTATATCAGAAGGATTATAAACTTACCTTTATTAACTTTTGTATACATGACTTCACTAAAGAATTACTATACATTATATTACCTTTGTTGGTTGTATGTATAACGTATCACCTACACCAGTCTGTTCACATTTAATTTGGTTAAGTCTTTCAATTGACTTATTTAACAGACATTGTGACTAGGTTAATAACAATTTGTCTGTGTCTTCGTATTATTATTATTATTACGTTTATGTGAGCGTATATGCTTGATCCTGTGTTAAAACCTGCACAAATTCCTCTCACTACCTTAAATATTAGTTACTTAAATCGCTCGATGATTTGTTCTTCACAAATCCACTCATTAATTCCCATTCGTATCTGTGTTTGCATGCGCGTCATCTGCTTGTGACTCTATGGTCTGAGTTGTACGATAATCAACTGTAGTCGATGTTTCGCATCATCTTCTGAAATCTTTACATCGCTAGGAGTCACAACAGTTATCAGGACGAATAATATATGTAGCGTAAGAATTATTTCGAAGATAACCGACTACATATGAAAGGTGTAATATCACACTGATTAGAAATGACAATGGTTAACTATTCAGATTGAGCTTGATGGAAATCACAATTCAATGCCCTCACTACATATGAATGTTTTTGTTGAAATGTCTACACATTTACAGAAGGCACCTAATTGATTTTAATGCAAGTCTTCAAAATTTCATACTTCCTTTTCAACTTAGTAACCTGGTTACTAGCAATGTGGACATCTCGGCATTTCATACTGCTCATTTTGTATTCAGTTCTAACAAATATTTACCTACTAAATGTAGCTCGTACGCTTATTTTAGCTTTTTGTAGTTTTATGGCTTTTCGAACTAAATGTTGCATAAATAGTGTTATGACTGAAGTAAACTAGCATTATCGTGTATTCTATCGATCTTAATGCAGACTAAGTACACAGTTTAAGAAAGAACATATCTGAAATTCACTTCCAACCTGTTTGAGGTCATTGCCTTACCCAGAACATAGGATATTGAGTTACGAAAGATGTAATCGAAAAAGTGATCATCTTAACATTTCATTTCATCACCTTATCTTAAATTGTAACGATTAGCGTTGGAATAGGGTAAACGAGACAAAATACGTTCACGTGCGAGGCTAAAGATCCTGGGTTTGATTCCCATACGCAAGAATTGTGGAGGCGCACTGTTGGGGAGCCTCATACTAGGACGAGATGGCCGTCCAGTCCTTCCGGGTTTCTAACGCTGGTCTAACTTGAATCGATTCGTGATTTCATTCATGAAAAAATACAATCTCTACAAATTCCCTTCATTAGAATCAAGATGAATCTAATATCTTCAATGCATTCGTTTCAAATCGACTATAGGAATAGAGAGTTGGAAGAAAGCTAGAGGCGGCCTAACCAAAGCATGGCACAAATCCATAAAGTCACTGACAACTTGACTGAGCCATGTTGGTCGGTGTAGACTAGTTGGTTGGGGTCCGCTAGATGATATTAACCGATGGTTAGAGACCTCGAATGACACGGCTGAAAACCGTTTGCAATGGCGCAGGTGCATCCACTCTTTGTGTCTTCTCAAATCCCAATCTTCGGAATTCCTCATCACCTTTAGCTTCCTGCTCGTTTAAATTTATCACACTGAATTATACTTCTTGAATAATATCTTCGAACCCTAATCTTCTCCATTATCGCTGATATCTCCACTACATTTACCACTATGGGATTTGAATCGACAATTGCGTCTCTGTACTAATGTAGTACGGCAAGCTAAACTTATCTACGTAAGTACGAAGTTCCATGTTTTAGCTGACTGACTGAGTAACCTCAACATCAACCCAGTTTCACATTTTTTAGACACGATCTCATGTTAATGAATCAATTTGTTTGTCAATCGAAAATGACGTATATCGGGTGACTGCGCAGATAAACAAAATATATTTATGCTCAGAGTATGTATAGGATTCAAGGAAATAAAGTAAGGTTGATCATTACTTTTTGTGATGATTTCAAGCTTACTACAATTTTGAGTTGAATATTCCGGTCTTACAGGCAGACCTCAGAATTTCCCTCTGGTTCATATAGTTTGCATCTTACTACCCTGAGTATCTAGCAAGTTTTATATGAGTGTTCTGTCTGTTTGATCCTCTTCTTCTAAAATGTTCCTTTATATTCCATTTTTTATTAGTTAACACCACTTACATGACGGAGTTAAATGAGTAAGGGGTTAGCACCGAGTAAAAGTACGGTGTACATAAGTAATCTGCCATTCAGCCTCACCAACAATGATCTACATCAAATATTACAGCCGTATGGTAAAGTGGTCAGGTGAGTTTTGATTCACTGTTTATTACTAAAATACATTAATGATTATAGTTCCTTACTAATCCAGTGAATTTGGCGTTATGCATTTCTGTTATTCAGAAACTTGTTAATTAGTCATAAAGATAAAGTTACAATGAATTAAACCGTAGGATAGTTGGGAAAAATCATGACACTAGTCTTTAAAGTCTTTAGTAGTTAGTATGCTGTTGCTTCAAGATTGGCTTGAGTCGTCACCTGAACTAATCATAGGGAGCGAAGTAGTCGAACATGTAGACCGCTTCACTTATCTCGGGAGTCTCGTCAGCGCTGATGGCCTGGTGACTGATGAAATCTCAGCACAGATACAGAAAGCTCGATTGGCTTTTGCCAACTTACGTCATTTATGGCGTAGACGAGATATCTATTTGATGACTATAGGATGAGTGTACTGCGCAGTAGTTCGCTCCGTTCCAAAATATGGATGCGAAACATGGCCGTTAAGAGTAGAAGATATTCGTAGGTTACTGGTTTTCGATCATAGGTGTTTTCGAAGCATTGCTCGTGTATCCTGAGACAACTGAGTAAACAATGCTATAGTTACGAAACGAGTACTTGGCAGGGATAGCGAATCAATCGATGAAATATTGAAACTTCATCAGTTGAGGTGGTTGGGACATGTGTTACGAATGTCCAAACACCAACTGCTTCGACGAGCAATGTTTTGTGGTGTAGGAGTAGGTTCGAAGAATGCTAGGGCCTACCAAACCAAACATCGCAGAAATCCATGAAGTCACTGACAAGTGGAGTGAGTCATGTTGGTAGATGTAGGCTATCTGGTTGGGGTCCGCGAGACGGAAGTCACCGATGGTTAGAGACCTTGAACGACATGGCTCAAAATCGTCTACAATGGCTCAGGTGCATGCACTCTTTGTGTTCTATGAAGTTCTAACCTTCTGAATTCCTCATAATCTCTATCTTTCTCTTTTTAAATTTATCTCACTGAATTATATTTCTTGAATAATATCTTCAAACCGTGAACTCCTTCATTACCTGTGATACTTCTACTGTCGCTACTTCTATGTGATTTGAACTGACAATTGCGTCTCTGTGGTAATGCGGTATGGCACCCTGAACTAATATATTTACGTACGAAGTTCTACGTTGTAACGGACTGATGCCGACTTAATTCCTGTAGGAAGCTTTATAGACTTTCACAGTAATAATGATTATATATTCAAGAATTGAAGGCAGTTGCCTAGATGACCTATTCCTTAGCCTGCTTTTATATGTTGTCTCTGTTATTGTATTTCCGTTCAGTCGTATAATTCAATTATAGTTGCTCGTTTCTAAGATATGTAGAAACCTAACCGATTTACAAAAGTATCAGGTTCCAAGATGTCCTGTCATCCAGTATTACTCTATTGATTTTACTGAAAGCTTAATATACAATGTCATGCATTGAAATTATTTATGATAGTAAAGAATACTAGAATATTCACAGCTTCTTATTCATTTGGATCTCTAACCTCTACCATTACATTCGAACTCATTTTATAGACAGACTGAAACCATGAACTGTTTATGGTTGCTTTTTATGTCTCGTGTATTGATTTTTTTTGTTTGAAATCTCTTTTGTTTATTTTTCCACTTTATTTTTGCTTGATCTAATCTAGAGTAACTGTTGTAAAAGACAAAGAAAGTCGTAAAAGCAAAGGTGTTGCATTTGTCTTGTTCTTAGATAGAAATGATGCTTATAACTGTGCAAATAAATTAAATAATACTCAGGTAAATTTATTTGTACAATTTTATTCAGTTGTTGTATATTTTTATAATGAAATGGAATAGCTTTTTGTTTCTAGGTTCCTCCCATTCTCGGTAAAGTAACAGAGATGCTTAGTTTAACTGTCTGAAGAAATAGCAACTTTTTCATTCATACCATTTTATATGACTTTACTAAATGCAAGTTGATATATTTAATCTTCAGTCATACATTTTTATTTTCAATTGGAGTTATGAAGATTAGTGTTTTTACATATTGAAATCATCAATCAATTATTGTTAGACCACCATTAGAAACTTGAAAGCACTGAACGACCATTTCATTCCGGTACGGGACTCATCACCAGTGGAGTCCCACCTTGTCGGGTGTAGGCAATAACTACCAAAGACAAATGGGTGAGGTCGTGCAAAATCTCTAGGTTGATCGGAGTTAGACATTAACACCGTTGTATTCCGGCCCAGTGGTCCAGAAGTTAAGCATTCGCGAGCAAGATCGAAGGTCCTGGATTCCAATCCCATGTTGTAACACTCGCTTGAATAATTCCCAGCTAAATCCTATTGCTTAGTATTCTCGGACCACAATACACTGGATAAGTCTCAAAGAATCGAAAACACGGGGGAACAGGAAAAGATTTTATTCCAAATAGCAAGGTTAAATGGAAATACGAAGGCGAAGGCAAAATAGATACAACGTTAAATTCTTTATAGTATTTTCATGAAAAGCTTCTGGATTGTAATTCACGTGATCAACTGGATTAGATTTAGCCAATCAGCATGCAGCTAGCAACACGAGAATTTTCTACCGTTCTCCAAGAATCGATCAGGCGCTGATTGGATAAGAAATTAACCAATCAATCTGGTGAGTTCCATACCAAGACGAAACGGTCGTCCAGTGTTTGCAGGTTTCTAATGGTGCTCTAACAATAATTGATTGATGATTTCAATGTGTATAGACTTTTATGTGAATTTCGATGATTCTGAAGGTGAACGAGTAACAGTCGTTTCTATCTTTCAAGTTATTGGTTCGAAATGTATAGCTTAAACAATGAAATCAATGCTCCCTTAAGGATTATTTAAATGAATTTGAAAGAAAACATCAGAATCAAATTTAATGACTTCTACGTTATCCACTCTAGAGGTCAGTTCTGTTTATTGTCACTTTTCTTTGCGAATAACAGACAATGACTAATATACTTTGATTTGAATTGAAAGGTAAAATTAAACCAATAAGTGTGTTTTCGTAAGCAACTTACAGTTATCACCCAGTTTTATCCAGAATCAACAAAAGAATTACTGTACTTTGGTCATAGAAATGATGATTTTTGAACCTGTTTGTCGATTCATATCTACTGTCGTCGGCCATTTGATATGTTAAACTTTATAGCATCAGTCTTTCCTAATTTTATTCTTAATATTTTTCTTTAATTAGATGTTTGGTCGTACATTGAAAGCATCAATCGCTCGAGATAATGGTCGAGCTGCTGAATTCATTCGTAGACGAGAATATCCTAATAAATCTCGATGCTATGAATGTGGCGTAAGTTTATTGAATCCAGCTTTATTATGCAAACTTGTTTATTGTTAAGTAGTTGAGTGTAACTTGATGCAAGGAGAATTCATATCATTTTATGCCTAATCGAATTGTTATCTTTCCACAAACCTCGTGGTATGTCAGATGTTCAAGATGTTCTTGGCAAACGAAACAGCTGTTTCACTTGCTGTAATGATATTTGGGAATTTACATTGCCCTTATTGTTGTTAGTAAAATATATGTACACGAGGTTGATTAAAGTCAGAAGATTGTGTTCCTCTTTTCTATCATAAACACATTCTTTTTTTATAGAAATTAGTTTAAATCACACACATATAGGACTGCTTTTATGACTAGCAACAAGTGGTCGACGTCAAGTACAATCGAGGGAAAAATAACCACTTCAATTTTGTTAACTATGGTGTGTTGTTTAGTATCCGATTTCGATTCTGTTATTGTTTAATTACTCAAACGCATAATTATTGATGCAAATGGGCACCTCAATATTTATGCGCCATACGTATTATTTATATTGTGCGTGGGCTGAGATACTGCCAGGGTACTCAGATCAAAGTACGTGGTTCACTTTTGGGGGTCGACTCCCCTAGCCTTTGTCGTACAGATCTAATCCACAAGGTAGTAGACCAGCATTAGGAGATGTGGTCTCATGGTAGACGGTGATCAACGTCCGTTTCATACGCCATCTATTCCCTCCGGATCCTGAAGCCCATCTAGACCATTGCTTTGGATCAGGGTTTTGCAACTCATTCATTTTTGTCTTCTTTCAAATCCTATCCTGAATTCCTCATCACCTTTATCTTTCTCTTTTTCAATTTGTTTCACTTGGATTATACTTCGTGAATCATATCTTCAGACCTTAATTTTCCCAATAACCGCTAATACTTCTACTGTCTCTACCATTATGGGATTTGAACTGACAATTGCGTCCCTGTGCTAATGTGGTGTGACAACTTGAACTAATGTACGTATGTACAAAGTTCTACGTTGTCGCTGACTGACTGACTGACTGACTGTAGATGTCAGATATTCGATTTAAGCGAGAAAATATTTTCGAAGCTTAATTTGATGTATTATTGCTAACAATATGATCGGAGTAGGAATTATTTTGCTAATCAAATGAAGCTTCATTTTATGAGTACTGGAAGTACTGGAAGTAGGGATACTACTCCTAATTCAGGTCTCATCTGGTCGAAAAATGAAAATTTCGGGACTGCCAAAAAACTATTGCCTGACATGAGACAAAGGGTATTAGGAGTGTCTGGACCTATTCTCATCAAGCTGGGCTGCATCTTCTGCCATCCTATGCCTTATGTATGTACACCATATTCTATGCTGCTGCTATATAGAACTGAAAGTTTCCTATGAGACCAGAGGTTCGCTGTGAACATTGTAGATGGCTTAGCATTGCTTCGGCAAGTATCGCTAACAGTCCATGTTCAAAATTGGTTGGCAGGGCGACCGATTTCATTGATACTAGTGGTTGTTTTGCAACATTCCCGAGGGCTATTGTCATTGGGTTACTGTATTGCATATCACCATTGCCAATAATAATGAGTTTGACAGTCATGTACGCGGAATGGGTTGAAATGGTCTGTTCATGCGGTGCATATTAATTGACGCGATCATGGATCGGAAATAATCACTATATATATATATATATACTAGTGTATATAATTGGTGTAAATGGTTCACCAGGGCATCAGATACCTGTTTGGTTGCACCACGGGATTGAGCCGAACTGTTCGTGTCGAAAGGCTAACTCGCGAGCAGTCTCCTCTGTTTTCCTGAAAACCAATGTAAAATTACCCTTGACAATAGAAGGTTAATTTATATAATTGTGTATGAATTGGAAGTAGTAGTGTTGTGTTATGACTTCTGAATTTCTACCATTTCAGTAATTTGACAGTCATTGCCAACAGCATTGTGCAGTCGCCGCTCTATAAAATGAATTGATAGGAGTTGAAATTATTAACTACTGGATATGATGAACCCAGTGGACTGAAGGTCCTTGGGTCTGTTGGTTCGTACGTTCTGTCAAACGGTCCCATATTAAGACAAAAACAATCGTCATGTAAACCCTGGCTTTCGGCGATACCGCAACTTGTACCAATTCGTGGTGAATATCATCAATACAAATGGGGCTCATTGTTATTTTCACTTGTTTTAATGCTCTCTAGGTGTACTCGCCAATATTTCATTTAATATGACGCTGAAGGATACCATTGTGGTTTGCCGATTTACTGCGTGTTCTTAAGCTCGGTAATTAGCTCGTCCAGACAATCGTTACTAACTAGCGCCTGACGGTTTATAAATCGGAAGGTGAACTCGTAGTGTTGAATACGTTTATTTTTGGACAGACCACAAAGCGAAGCGGAGAAGCAGTGAATAAGAGGGATGGGGTGACGTGAATTGGAGAAGCGCGTCGGAGAAGGCTAATGAGCCAACTCCAAGAGATAGAGCACGACTAAGAATATATAGTCAGACAAATATAAGACAGACATGTGACAAGCAAAATAGGCATGCACACACATGAATAAAAGCGACAGATGGTTGACAAGGTCAAATGACAATGGGGACACGTCATTTGAACTCATATAAACCAGACAATAATAAGGAAGAACGGTACATATAAGTTGTTGCTACGCAAATAGCCTGGTTAAATAAATTAATCGAAAGGGCTTAACCAAGTTAGGTGGAATATATATTGAGGCGCTACATCATGTCTTATTATTTCAATTTATGATTATAATTTCTAATCATAGAACCGAGTACAGTAATGCATAAATTGTTTAATCTTTCTCTAATTTTGTAGTCGTTCGGACATCTTAGTTATAAATGTGAAAAGAATTCATTGGGTGAACGTGAACAACCAGTAAAGAAACGTAAAGTTCGAAAGAAACTCCAGTATGTACTCTCAAATAGAAACAAATTATTGATAATTATGATTATAAATATCGTGGTTTGTTGTTCGTTTATTTATTTTGAGATTATTTATATAAGCCCTGGTTCAGATCGAGTGTCGATGACTTCATAGATGACCGATGTTATGTTTCCATTTGGTCGCTTCCAACTTCCAGCATACTTCTTATATAGCTAACAACGCAAGTTGAGATAGGCGGTTATTATTCATGCATAGTAATTATCAATATTTTTAGTAAGAAATATTTCCAACATCGATTCGTTATCCATATAAAATCAGTTACAGATTGTTGGAAGAGTTCTATTCTAATTTAGGTTGTTTCTCTTAAACAACCTGGGTGTTTTAAGTGATCAGTAACTGACGTGTTCACTAATAACTTCCATCAAATCCCATGAGAGTTAGGCTACTAATTGTCTATTCTTTTTATTTCTATTTAAACATGAATTAGAAATAATATTTTTGATAATTAGGCAGTATTCTTTCTTTACTGTCACCATTGAAAGTAAAGTTTCTTTAAGAGGATACAACTAGAATCAATCATTCTAAATTCTGCTTGGTAGATAACAGTAATTTCTATAGAATAACGCTTATACTGTGACTACTGTTGTCGATTTTGCACACAACTCACTTCTACTATAATCTATTAAAATCGCACTTTTATTCCCTTCATTTGAAGTTGTTTCTATTTGCTCGATGCTTTTTAAATTAATATATTCGTTACTTATACTTTATTTCAGTAGTATACTTTGAAGTAATAAAACTTCTGAGGAACATTTTACGCTCAGTGAAATTTAGCATCATATTTAGTTTAAGTTGATTTCCCTACTCCGAACTTATTTTAAATTTTGCTTTTTTTAGAAAACTCTTATAAGAACACAAACAAAACCGATAATCCATATATTATATACTAGTCATCCAGAAAATGTTTGAACTTAATTGAATCGCTAGTAAATAGCATGAATCTGAATGGATAAAGATGTCTTGATTAGATCATCATTCAATTTTTGTGCTAAATCAGAACGATAAAGGAAATAAAGCCTCATTCAGGTTATATCTAATATTGATTGGTTAATAGCTAGCAACTATCTTGGTATAATAAGTATTTTTAGCTAAATTAGTTGTATTCACTTATGGAGATTCCAATAACTTTAGTCTTCCGTTTGTTTTCGATGATATATCTGAATATTACGTGTTATTTCTGTTATGAATAACATATTAATCGATATGTGGAGAAGCGATTTGACAATAAGAATCCTAGTTATAATGTTTGCATCCCATGGAAGTTAATTCGGCTGTGACCTAGCATCTTCAGCTTCGATTGGTTATACGCTTCAACTTAAGAAGTTAAGCCTAATTTGAGCTGAGAATAATCCTCATTCCTGTTGATCTGGAACCTTTGTCCTTCTTCTCTTTGCCTTTAGTTCTAATAAAAGAAAACGCAAATCAAGCATTCATTATTATATTTCAGCTACCTAGTATGCTCATCTTTAACATTTATTAGCTTATACACATGAATTATCAGACCACAACACATCTCAGGTATGAAGTCATATAATAAGTGGCGTAGGTTAGAGCGGATGGTATATAATTAACGAATAATAAAGTTTTTGACTGAAGATTGTCCAGTTACACGGTGTTAATGTCTAACTTCGATCAGTTCACGATCTTGTGCAACCTCATACACTGTTTTCGGTAGTTACTGTTTTTAGCCGTACAGGTTGAACTTCGCTGGTCACGACTTCCTAATAGAATTCGCAGAAGATCCCTCACGGAGCTACTCACTAGTGAGCACAGATAATTACATTACGGGGTTGTAAAGATTGTTCAGTTACACAATGAAATCATGAATCGATCAATGTTAAACCACCATACCAGGAAGGAACGGCCATCCAGTGCTTCAAGGTTTCTAATGTCGGTCTAACATTGATCGATTCATGTTTTCAATGTGTAATATTTAATATATCCAACTGAGTTAATTAATTTAATAGAGAATAAATAATAGTTAAATTTAAAACAACTAGTCTCTTTTATAACCGTGAATTTACCAGGGCAGTCTTTAAGTCATTTTATGGCCTAGGATAATGTGACAATTTTCTTTACCCTTCCTTTCTTATTCTTTCTATATTACGTAGATTTTCTCTTTCCTTCGTTTACAATTATCACTTTATGTCTATATTTGAATGTCATTAATGCCTTGACATGGATATGTGTATGTGACCAGATTGTTTCAAAATGTCTAACGCAAATACGTCATATTTTTCAAATCAATTACGTTTTCTCACCATTCTATTAAAAATAGTCAAATCCTCTGACAAAATTATACACTGAAAATATTAAATAATCATATAAATATTATCATTACTCAACTGTTGTAACCATTTCATTTTTGTTCTTTTCTTTCAAAAATCACGCCTTTTCATTTATATATAGTTCAGATTCAGCGACATCAAATTTACATGGTAGAAATGGGCCAATGGATCCCGATAATGACAATGATAATAATAATAGCGATAATGAAGATAGTGAAATTGATGATCAATTGGATAGTTGGAGTGCAGTTGTACAACATCAAACAGAACTCTACAATAGACAATCATCATCATCTCAACCAACTATAAAGAAATTATGTATACGTCAAAATTCATATTTTTCCGATGAAGAAGATGTAGATGATTGTTAAAAGTGTAGTTAGTTTTTTTCCACTGTGATTCCTTCATTATGGTCCAAGTTTCTAATATATTATTTCTAATAAGGGATGATGGATATCTGAGATGTTTTAAAAGTAATACACTATCATTGATTTTCATCACACAACATTAATGTACAGTAAAACCTTTTAATAGAATGAAAGTCTTGAAGTTACATTCATTTTTAGCAAACCAGATGTACATGTATGTTACATTTTTGCTGTGCAATGTAAATAAAATTATCTCTTCATTACTTATAATTATTTGAGTAGTTTTATAGCTGACAAAACCATTGCTGTGAAACAGTACCTAACAGAAAAACTACATCAACTCAAGTTATTGCGAGATAAAACTGTCGGCGAATGCCCAACTACCGACCACCTCGTCGAGCTATGTTTTGCGGTGTCGGAGAAGGTTGGAAGGAAGCTAGGCACGGCCAAACTAAAACATTGCACAAATCCATTCATTCACTGACAACTAGATTGCATCAAGTTGGTAAATGTGGAGTACCTGGTTGAAGTCCGCGAGACGAAAGTCACCGATGGTTAGAGACCTAGAACGACATGGCTTAAAACCGTTTGCAATGGCGCAGGTGCATTCATTCTCTGTGTTCGTTCAAATTTTAGTCTTCTGAATTCCTCATAACCGTTTTTTCTCTTTTTTTAAACTGATTTTTCTGGGGTATGCATCTTCAATGATATCTTCGAACCCTAATCTCTCCTAATACTGCTAATACTTCTACTACCGGGATTCGAATCGACAGTTGCGTCTCTATGCTAATATGGTATGACAACCCTTAAACTATGTACGTACGTACGAAGTTCTACGTTGTAACTGACTGACTGACTGAGATAAAACTGTGTAGTGAGAAAAATTCCGTAATTGGAAAGAGGTTCAACCAAAAATATCAGGTATGAACTATCAAGGGGTTGTGGACATTTTTGTGATTATTCCTAGACTTCGGTTGTTAATTGGTCGAACAGCTGTTATCACCATAATTTATCAACAGTGCATAAGCTTCCAAAACTGGCATTCAATAAAAAGAGGATTGTTGAACTTTTTTTAACAAGCAAATATGTGTTTGCGTGAAAATAAATCGTCAAGCAGAATGATAATTAGGCGAGTAAAAGAAATGATTGCGTAGACCGTCACATGCATTCAAACTAAAATAATTACATCTGTCAAATAGGTTAAATCAAAGACTTAACTAGTTTGAACACGTCTAGCTGTGTATGCATTCAAGTCTACCAGTAGGATAATAGAAAATGAACTAATCAAAGATCATCAAGGTCTAAATGCTTCTATGAATTACTATTGTAAGCTGTTGATTAATCATCTCACTCCATTGTTTTATTTCATCATTTAATTCTCAATCCTTGTGTTCATGCTTCTCACAATAACATCAAGCACCTTATATTTTTTCAGAGAATAATTATTTACATAACTCAACAAATCAGTTTTTATGTGTTTGGTTTTAGCATTTCTAAATCGTTAATAAAACAAAAGTTCAGTGTAATTGAAACATTTTTCTGATTACAGTTATGGAGATCAGTGTTTTTACACATTGAAATCATTAATCAATCATTGTTAGACCACCATTAGAAACCTGCAAGCACTGGACGGCCTTTTTGTTCTGGTATGGGACTCATCAGCAGAATGCATGCATGAATCCTGCACCTCGCAGGATCCGAACTCAGGGCCTTCGGTCTTACGCGCGCGAACGCCTAACATCTGGACCGGCATTGAAATATAGTCTATGGTCAAATTCTAATGTTCTACTCACATCGAATCATATCACATTTTGTTCAGCCATAATGTTTTATTTACCTGTGAAATATGTTAATGACACCGATTTAATTTTAACAGAGTTAATGAGTTTTTTTTCACTAACAAGTTTCTTATCCTCAATCACCATCCAATATTTATTAACTTCTAATAGATATGTCGCTTGGTGATTTGAGTACTTGCATTTCAATTACTGTGTAATCATTTCAAACACTTTTTACGTATAACTCAGCTTCAGTGAATAGTTCACATGATTCGAGCACAACAATCTTCATTTCTGTTCATATTGAGTTCCCTGTTTGTATTTTTCTTATTTTCCTTAAATTTTTGATTAATAATTTATATTACAAGTCTGTTTGTGTGGTCACAGTGTATACTCACAAACATAAATCATACATTGACTGTGTAGTTATAGAAACAATCAAATAACAACTTTTAATGTTAGTTGTTAAAAAGTATTCAATAGCTGTAGGTTTCTAGTTCAGAATTTCCAGTTTCTTTAGATTGAAAAAAATGCAAAGAAAATATTCATACTTATATGATCATTGATTACTGAATTATGTTTAACTCTTGCTACTATTTATTTGTATAACATAAAAAGAAATCCACTCCGTTTAGTACTTCTGTAGTGTGTCGATTTACTGCGTGTTCTTAAGCTCGGTAATTAACTCGTCCAGACAATCGTTACTAAATAGCGTCCGACGATTTATAAATCAGAAGATGAATTCGTAGTGATGAATACGTTTATTCATACCACACCACAAAGCGAAGCGGAGAAGCAGTGAATAAAACGAAGGAAGCGAATGGATAGGCGAAGCGCGTTGGAGAAGGCAAAGAGCCAACTCAAAGAGATAGAACATGACTAAGAATATATAGTTAGACAAAAATAAGGCAGACATATGAAAAGCGAAATAGGCGTGCACACACATGAATAAAAGCGACGAATGACTGACAAGGTCAAATGACAAGTGGAACATGTCATGTGAGCTCATACAAACCAGACAATAATAAGAACGAATGGTACATAAAAATTGTTGCTATACAAATGGCTTGGTTAAATAAATTAATCGAAAGGGCTTAACCAAGTTAGATGTAAGCGAACTGGAATATATGTTGAGGCGCTACACTTCTGTCTTGTACGAAGAAGTCAAAATCAGACGGAATACAATGTTCAGAGAAGATGTAGTTTATTTAGGAAATATGTACACATAATCTTCAAACGTCCATTTATAATACAAGCAAGTTTTTGACTGTCTTCTCTGACATCTCTCTATTCAATACACTGCTGGATTTTGATCTCAAGACACTGCTTTCTGGTAGCAACTTCTGGGTGACACTCTGCTGCATATTATGTGCCGCCTTATAAATAGTATATGCCTCGACTTTGATTCCATCTTACTTCTTAAACGATAGTAACTGTTGTGTAGAGACTTTGAATTACATAGTTCAAAATCGTTTGCAATGGCACAGGTGCATCTATTCTTTGTCTTCTCTTAAATTATAATCTTCGGAATTCCTCATCATCTCTCATCGTTTCTCTTTCTAAAGTTATCTACACTGAGTTTATACTTATTAGATAATAACTTCGAACCCTAATCTTTTGCATTACCGCTAATACTTCTACTATCTCTACCGCTATCTACTACTATTGGATTTGAATTGACAATTGCATCTCTGTGCTTATGTGTTATATCAACTAGAACTGATATACGTACGTACAAAGTTCTATATTGTCGCTAACTGACTTAAACACAAATATAAAGCTGCTAATTTAACTGACAAATTGATATTTCCCATCATATATCTATCTATCAAAGTTAAGAATTTCGTTAATCATTACCTTAAAATTAGATACGAAGTCAACTGGGATCAGTAATTGCAGTGAACAGCCGCTTGATAGTCATTTTTAGTTATATGTGTTGAGTAAATATGTCAGTAGTTTCTATTCAATGATAAGAATTAGGTTTCTTTTTCTAGTTTAAAAAAAATCATTCACACTCATATTCTTTATAAGATAGATAATATAATACTTGTTATTTGAATATTTTTTTATCTTATACAGTTCAATTTATTGACAATTATTTTTTGATTACTTAAAAATTTGGGCGTGTCGTTAGTGTGTATTCCCAGTGATTTTTATGACTTTACAAAATAACATATATATCTGTTGGTTTAAGTCTTAGTTACAATGGAATATTTGTTTCAATTAAGAAACTAGGTAGAGAGTAATTTGTTGAGTTGAGTTAAGTAAACAAATATTTATTATTATTATTATTATTATTATCATTGTTATATTGATACGTTGTTGTCATTGAGTTAACTCATGCTACAAAATAGTTTTATTGACTATGTGGTTAACGACATTATGAGGTGTTTGTATTTTTTCACATTGTTTAATGACACAGTTCCTTATGCTTAGTAAAAAAAATCATACTGGTCAATTAATAAGATATGATTTTACGACACAATTTGTTGTTCAGTTTTAATAATGAAGGGAGTGGGTATTTTTGAAATTTCTCAAAACATGAGTTTTTTTTTTCTGTCCAACTAAATAGTTTGTTTTGAATAGGAAGATATAGACTACGTGGTCGAAGACCGCGAGACTAAAGTCACCGATGGTTAGAGACCTTGAACGACATGTCTCAGAATCGTTTGAAATGAAGCAGGTGCATTCGTTCATTGTGTTCTTTTAAATTCTAACCTTCTGAATTCCTCATCATCTCTACCTTTCTCCTAAATTTTTCTCACTGAATTATACTTTTCGAATCATATCTTTGCTCCCTAATCTTCTCCATTGCTGCTAATAATTCTACTATCGCTATCACTCGTGGATTTGAACTGACAGTTACGTCTCTGTGCTGACGTGGTATGGCAACCTGAACTGATGTACTTATGTACGAAGTTTTGTGTTGTATCTGTCTGTCATTATAAAATATTCCTCGTCACCTGTATCTTTCTCTTCTTAAATTTATCTTACCGAACTATACTTCTTGAATAATATCTTCGATTCCTAATATTCCCCTTTACCGCTTATTCTTCTACTGTCTCTACAACTATTTGATTTGAACTGACAGTTGCGTCTCTTCGCTCATGTGGTATGGCAACTTGAATTGATGTACTTAAGTACGAAGTTCTACGCTGTAACTCACTGACCGTTTTAAATAGAGTGAATAGAATCGTCAAACAGTTAATATTTATCAGTAAACAC